GTGATGACATCAAGAAAATGATACATCCTTTACAAATACACTGCATTATTAAATGCCACATCATGTAATGTCAATAAACCACTTATCCAGAAAGCAATTTATCCATCCTTTTCACTGCTTTGTGAAAGGCGATTCAGCCAGAAAATAAAGTTTAAATAAATACTGGTTTCAATATTTATGACATTTCTAAAGCAAACTTTCAAATATTCACTCATCTAAACCAGCAGACATTATTTTATAATGATGCTTGTACTTTTTACCTCATTGATTCATCACAGCAGTGACATCAGTTTCTAAAAATAGATTTTTGGACAAGGCGATGATGACCAGCCATAATTTCTATAGACCATCATTTCTATAGACCATCGATAATTTCTATATTATTGTTCAACTGAAAATGATGTACAAGGCACTAAATTTGTTCATCCAAATATAAATAAACATTCCAATATTCATTCAGCGATGGTTAGAATGGCGAGGCCTGCCCCAAAATGAAAAACAAAGAAAAAAAGAAGCATACTGCTTAAAAAAGTTTCTTGAATTGTGCATTTTTTATTTTAAATTTACAATGTTCTTCTGTATGCAAAGTGTTCTAAATAACAGAAATGTAAATTTTTTTCCTATCTGCAGAATATTAGTGAATACATTATTCATACAAACCAGAAGTCATTTTGACACGTGTTTGATTTATAAATATATTCTTGTTTGGTTTTGTATGGTTTGAAACAATAAGGTACCCCACAACACCCACCATTACGGTGATATTCAAATGTACAAGTGCAATTTATTATTGTTGTTTTTATTATTTTTGTTATTGTTCCAGTGCTTATATTATCCTTTCAGTACTATTATTATTATTATTATTATTATTATTATTATTATTATTATTATTATTATTATTATTATTATTATTATCATCATTATTATTATTATTATCATGCAAATGAATGGATTTATGCCATCAAATCTTGGGTATAATACACACCTGGACTTTTTCCTTTCATTGTGATGCAAAAATCTTGACACCTATGTATAATACCAGGATTTCTTGGTATTGCATGTGTAGATACTTAAGAATGCTAGCCCTTAATTGGCCATAATTGTTAAAAGTCAGTGTCATAGCCTACAGAACATTCTAAAAAATCCTTTTGATGATCTTTTGTGGACAGAACAGTTCCAGTATTAATCACTAAAATAAACTTCATTCATATATTTAATATATTACTTATATAATAATGTATATGTTGCAGAAAGTTGTATCAAATAATGTTGATTGACCTGCCGTACAACAATAAAACTTCAATAAATTTACATCTAGGTATATATAATATGTGTCCTAGTTTAGAAAGAAAATTTGTGTTAAAGTTAAAAAACTACATATTATACCAGAGATTTTATAAGTAATAAAAGTTACTATTATCTGGTGGACTTTTTGCTATTGTTAATCATCTACTAATTATTATCTTGATCATTGTTATTATTATTATAATTATTATCGCAAATCATTCTGGTAATTTTGTCATACTTGAATGGATATATTAGTAAAAAAAAGTTACTGTTATCTGGTGGGTTTTTTGGTTTTGTTAATCTTGTACTTTTTATTATTATTATTTATATTATTGCAAAAAAATCCTGGTAATTTTTTCATGATTGCATGGGTATGTACATAATAAAAGTTACTCTTATATGAATTAATAATTATTTTTGCTATTGTTTATCTTCTAAAAATAATTTCTGTTGTTGCTGAAAAGAGTCCAAGATGTTGGCTTTCTCTGTATGTTCCTTGATGGGTCAATTTCCAACAACAAAGTGTAAACTACATATATATGTATCCTTGTCACATTTTTATTATAGCAAAATCAGGTTGGCCACAATTGGTGTACCTATCGAATACACATTTCTCTCCTTGTGAGGCTTTGAAAAACCATTTCCAAATCCAATGAACCAAACACCGTCTTCCTGGTATCACCAATCATTTGTACATGAACCATAACAACAAAGCTTAGTGGTCAGGTATTAGTTTTCCAGTACAATATATTAATTATTTATAAATTTCAAAATGTTGCCAGCATCCGTGTTACTATTTGCCGATATCTGCTTTGTCCGAAAACAATATGGCCTCAGTCGGAACAATGACATCATGGTTTATTTTTTAGCACAAGGCTGAATAAAGTACAATGCCATTGTACTAGTAATTGTTCCAAGCTAAAACTCTTATCAAATACTGAACTGACTCAAACCAAACTAGTACCAAGACAATAAACACACTGCAACACATTATCCAAATTAGTATGTAGCTCTATCCCAGGGATACCATAGCTATCATTTGTTGATTACATACAAGAGGAACAAGGTGACATTATAATTATGTTATGGCAATAGGTACATACTCATCATTATAAGTGGCAAACTTTTACAGAAATGTTGCAACTTATCCCAAATTTACCCTGCTGTTGGAAGGATGTCTACATTTCAAAGAATTACTGCCGAATCATGTGTATACAATTACTGCTGAATCATACACAAGAGCTTTTGACCTTTTAAATAAGGTGCCTGCTTATATTTCATTGACAATAACTTTTTGTGAACAAAAAGTCAGGTTTTAGGTGCATCTGATGGAATTCTTATCAACAACTTTTTAAACAGTAGCAAAATATCAATGGTTGCCTGGAGGTAGCCCCCACTTTGTTGGGGAAAGGTTGTAGTGGAAAATGGGTTGTTATCATCTAGAGGGTGATCACCTTTGGTGTCATTGCCCTGATTGAGTAAATATCAATATAATGTAGATAGGTGGTAGAGATAGAGGTCTGAGCAGATATATAAAACAATGATATGAGCCCCTGCACATGAAAAAATAACAATTTAATTCAATTTCATAAACAACCCTTATAATGTATTTGATTAGAAAGATACCATTTCTTTGGAATAAATCATTCACCAATTTTCAAACACAAATACACTTACATAAATAGCCAATCTGTTCTAAATGATAGAATTAGTTCATCACAGAATGGAGTATATATCTAAGTCATTCTCTGGTATAACTTCAAAATCTGGCTATTTCTGGTTCATTCCAACTTCACTGTGTTCTTCTTGGTCCTTTCCACTTTTCCCTTCTCCAAACTCTCTAATGTTTCACCTCTTTCAGCGCTCAAACTTTGTGTGGGTAGGCGGATAAGTATGTGATACACAGATACTTCAATAGGTAGGTATGTTGATACATCCTGTGGAGTTATTTCACCTTGCTTTCAGCTTCACTCGCTTCTACCACCAAAAATCATGTCCATCGACTTTCAAGACAAGTGATCCCTTGGATAATTATTTAATGAGTAAATTTCTTCTAAATTCAAATTGGAGTCCACTATATTTCTTTTCTCTTGCAGAAAAGCATAGACTAAAATTTTGCGATGGGACATACTAAAACCAAAGAATTTTCATGTAGGAACCACGTCCCTTATTTAGCACAACCAAACCAGATTAAATGCATCTACCACGCTTTATATCTAGATGCCAAAAATTTAGGTCTGTGTGACCTCCAGATCCTGGAAAATCTAACTCTGACATTTTTGGATACAAATAATGAAGTTAACCTTCTACTTCCAGTCTGATTGTCAAATAAATGAGCGCTTAATTAAGAATACTCCTCTCACAACACCTACATTAAAAATCATTGCAGTATAGAGGTCTAACATGCACGTTTTTCCCCATAAATTTAATTAACTGTTCACCTGCCCAAATTAATGTGCTCTTTACAGATTGAAAGAAATTTGTACCCTTACAATGATCAAGCATTAATTGGTAGTCTTTTCTGACCAAACTGTTCCAGATAAACATGCCTCAAATGCCATTTTTCTGTATATGATGAGTTGTACATGGCATCCAGTATAACTAGTGCTGTTCAGATATTCAAACTCTCTAGGGTTTAGGGGGAATCTTCATTCATAAATCTTGATAGTGACTTCAGATATGTTGCCAATTTTTAATACTGTTGATCTTGTGATATTATGTCAGTACACTGATAACAAGTTTATTATAATTTGATTATGGACTCATCAGGATAAAATATCTGCCTGATATTGCCAATGAATCCAAGACTTTCATTTGACACACTGTAATTATACTGTGTGAAGATAATGTTTAATAACTACAAAACCAAAGGACATCAATATGAAAATCAGTATGATTGTAAAAACATCAACTGGTATGGTATTCAACAGCAAAATCCAGGCATGCAAAATGGAACTGACCAGCCCTACCTGTACTATTCATTAGCACTGTAGTGTAATACATATAACATTTATGCATTATGCCCCTTTAGTGTAAGATGCAATGTGCTGTGATTTATCCAACTGAAAGTTAACAACCATCTGTAAACAATGATAATTAGTCACTAAATCAACCAGGTAAGCTATTCTTCCAAATATACATGACTAACAAATACCACACTGTACTCTTTGTGAAACTCTAGCCATTATTATGTAAACTCTGCTTGGCAAAATTATCTCTTGGTGCTTAAGTTAATCAAGTTCAGGTGATATGGCAGTTTCTGCTGCAAGATGGCTATCTGGGATGAAGCCAGACAGAAAGCAGCTGTGTATATTTACTGTATGTTGCCTCTTTCAGCAAAATTCATTTCCAACTTTCTCCAGGTTTGTTATCTAACTTCAACTTCCTTTGTTTTTTGTTTAATTATCTAACTTTTAACTTCATCCAGGTTTGTTATCCAACTTCATCTTCCAACAGGAGTGTTGCATCATTGATATCACATGAAGTGATTTTTGCTTCTTTTTTATATAAAAATTTTAATCCCTTTCAAATGGACATAGTGGAAACTACAACCTATGTGCAGCTGCTAAGTTCTGTATTCACAAATAAATTCTGCATGAATTTCACCTACAAACTAAAACAATTTTGTAAGTTCTTACACTGCTACAAATATGTGCAACTGGGCATTGGACATTTAAAATAATACCTTAATTATTAAGTACAAAAATCTCACCGCTCCGGTGGCCCAGTGGTTAGGGCGTCTGCTTCGGATGCGGGAGGTCATGGGTTTGATCTACGGCTGAGTCATACCAAAGACTTTAAAAATTGGTAAAAACAGCTGCCTATGGCATGATGCCCCAGTGCTGGACATCACTATGAACTGTCACACTGCAGACATTGTAGCGCTATGACTGAAAATTTGTTAAAGCTATGTTAAAAGATCTAAATCACACACACAAATCTCAGTGTTTCTTTAACATGCACTAAAAAAATCTTCATGATTTGTATTGATACGAAAAAACAGGTGCATCTGGCTGGAAGAAGCATGTGAGGAACAGACTATCATCTCTGCTTATATAAGTAAAAAATTATGTGAGTTTTCCAAAATAGAAAATTTTTATAACTACATTACACTTACAAAAAACAAACAACTATAATAAATTAAAGAGTACTTATTTTTTAAACTGCAGTAAAATGGGAATTTTGGATCCACTAATGCCTGAAAAGTTGCTGCTGCAGAGCAAAGAAAGACGTGTACTAAAAGGCAATTTCCAACAATTAAATTTTAGAGCCACCAGTCCTATAATTGAACATTTTTCAAAACGAAATTAGCATTTTCGGGCGAATTTTTAACAAAGTCTTATGGTATCTAACCTAATAAATCTCATCACTTGTAATTTTGTTCAATTAAATGTTAGACATCTCTTTATATCAGATACAAAAATTAATATTTAAAATCAAAACTTGACAGTAGTTATATAATTTTATTGTTTTGCAGAGTAGTTTCCCTTTTAAACACTAGGAGAAGCAGAAAAAAAAGTCATCTGTTTATTCTTCTAACATAAGTTAAAGTTGCATTATAATAAATCTGTTACATGTATTATTGGATTAAAGTGTCCAATGATCACATGGAACCAACAGTTACATATAGGTTTCACATCAAATTAAAAGTCTGTATTCTTAGAGAATTTAATATCAGCATATATATATATATATATATATATATATATATATATATATATATATATATATATATATATATATATATATATATAACAGATACAAGTTAACAAACTACAATATTTATCACTATTTAAAGCTATATTATAGTTTTTTATATAAAAAAACCCCAAATGAATAGCATGTCATTTAAGAAACTATCCCCTTCACCAAAATGTTTTATATATTTAATCTGTATTGTGTCCTTAACTTTTGTCAATGATTGTAAGTTGTACTTCTGATCATGGTCATTCAGAAACAGAAAGTTTACATAGCATCTGAGTTCATGGCCCATCTTATTTAAAAATGTCAGGAATCAGTACACAATTAATAAAATCTGGTTCAGTACCCACAAATGTAGTCCCAGTATATTTTTAGATCATTTTTTCCTGTCTCCGTTTGGTGGTGATACAAGAGTTAGATTTTGGCATTCTTGGTAAGGATTTAAAGACAATTGTTTATTCTTTAAAAATTGTGAGCTTATGGTGTGGTTGTGTGTATATGCACTTTGAGTTAATAAGGCCATGGTGATGATTCGGAAGTAAAATCTGTGTTCCAATGCATATTGTTTTGTTTACAATGCAGCCTCTCAAAAAAATGCAGGTCAACCCTTGACAAGAACTTCACCATAAAATCATCTTTAAAGGTATTTTAGATTACCATATGATTTGTATTGATTGTCAGACAGTGGAAAGTTCGGTACTGAGAAACAAATGTAGAGACTATATAGTAAAATTAATTTTGTTCTAAGGCCTGTCAGCACTGCATTTGAGTAAGTTTAAACTGATATAAAATTATTAATGATAGGCACATGAAATTAAAAATAAAATAATAATTTTAATTTTAAAAATTTAAGTGAAATTTAAAAAAAAATTAGAAATAAAATTTTTTCTTAAGTATGCACATATTTATTGGGAATGATATTAAATGATATCAGCACATATATACTCCTACACCATTTACAAGCTCAAATGATGGATATTTGTCAAATTTTATGTGAGAAAATATCTTTGTTAGTCAAAATGAGGTCCTCATTTAAAATATATGAAGACAAAATTCTATTTTGCTTTGTACCTTTAGGTCATTGAAACTATTTATTTGGGGACCAAACAGTTAATTTATGTGTTTATGATGGGGTGACTTCCTGAGTACTACATATCTACTGGTATAGCTATCAGTAATTGTTTATAAACATAGCTATAGGGTATTTAGTAAGAGGACAGAGATGAAGACTTTATACTATAACCTGTTTAAGTTCTCCACAACATCATATTAAGTCGTCAGAGAATGAAATACAGGTCAGAGGGGTAAAATATACTTTACCCATGTATATTTACCATTGCATTTAAGAAAACAGCAAAATAATGTAAGTTGAACAAAGAATGCATTTCATTTTATTGTTTAGTTTCTTTAAGATATTGATTGATGTAGTGCAGCATTGTGGCCCAGATGATATTATGGGATTTCTAATGATCCAATTTGCTTTATATTTTAGAATGTTTAGGATCAAAAGTTGATATTCAGTACATCATATAGGCTGACATAGTACCTGTAGTGAATCTGTAATGCTCAGTTCTGACTGTGTGCACTTAAAATATCCCAACTTGTTATTTTCATCCTGAATATGCCTCTGCATGGTAACACATGTCAATTTAGTACTTAGACAGAGGGCAGTATTGCAGCATCAGCTGATTTCTGATTCCATTGAATCATTGAGCTTAATAACTTGGTAACCAACACTCTTAAAAATAGATAAAAAATGTTCAAACAGATCATTGAATTATGTCTGCACATGTGATTTTAACAAGTACATTGCATATGCCCCACACATGCAAATGTCAATCCTTATTTACAAGTTTTCGGGATTAAAATTTCACTTTTAGTAGATGATATAGAATCTGTTGGTACCTATAGTTGACCTGTGTGGCCACATTTGACTGTATTCACTAGCAATATCTAAAATCGTTTTTTTCTTCATGAATAAGATTGCATATAGTAATAAATTTTAATTTGGTACATTGTCATTTAACTTTCCAGTATACTGGTATGTATTAATGTTTGCACCAATGATAATTTTAAGGATGCTAGTGTTAGAACTGCTCAGCCTGGTGTCAGGATAATGTAACTGGTTGGATATCATGCTACATGTCTGCAGCATGATGGTAAAACTAGACAATCTATAAACAGCCACATAGCAGACATGTTGTGATATGATTAAAAAATTTCTAAAGCTATGTTAACAATTCAAAACACACACAACCTGTAGGTCATAGTCAAGGGTGCTGGACATTTGGATTACTGGAGTGGGAATGTTATCAAGAAGTGTGGGAACTTGCATAGATTTGCCATGTTGATGTTTCTGCATGAAATGAATTGATATAGGTTTTTTTCAGTATTGATTCAAAATTTAATAGTACCTCACTGAAGATCAAAATACTATAATTATTTAAGACTAACCTATATACATTTTCAGAACATATATATAAATTCATTGTCAAATTTGATGGTATCAACAATCAGAAATGACTTTACAGATGGCAAAAGTGAACATCTAGAAGAAGCTTTGATTCTCTTGGAAACATTTACTGATTATATGATTAGGAAGTATAGTTTTCACACATTGTAAAACAAATGCATGCTGTACACAACAAAGCTAGCTGTCACACTGAAGAAGAAACAATCTTTCATGGAAATTAACAACATTCCGGGGACCCACTATATTGGCCCTGGTAGTGATGTGATGTGATTATGATTTTTTTTATGCAGCTTTAACAATTTTTCAGTCATATCAATACATTGTCTGCAGTGTGGCAGTTTATAGTGATGTCCATTTGCCATTGGGGCATCATGCCGAAGATATGTAGCATGATGTCCCACCCAGTCACATTATCCTGACACCAGACAGATTAGTCCTAACACTAACCTCTTAATGCTGATGTCAAGTGAGGCAGCTATTAGTACCATTTTTATTAGTCTTTGTTACGACTTAGCCAGGGATCAAACCCACAACCTTAAGCATCTGAAACAAACACTCTAATCACTAGGTCACTGGAGTGGTTTGGCTCTGGTAGAAAATCTTGCCAAATTCATCAACAGCAATAATTCAGACTTAGAATAAAAACGGTAATTATTTAACCAGTAGTAAAACAATTTGACAATAGCTAGCTCTTTGACCAAAGTAATTTATTACTCTGTTAAGGTGTAGATCAGAATTGTATCCTCTAAATGTAAATCTGAATACAACTGAAAATGATTCCAATGACTGATCATAAAACAGGAAATGAATAATTGTATATCAAAACCCTTTATAAACAAATTTCAATTGAATTGTGATGCAACAGATTACAATGGAAAATTCAATGAAATAGCATGATCTCTTTTCTTCCAGAAAGTTCTACTCTCATAAAGAAGGCCAGGTGGTCTTGAATGCAAATTCTATAAATGTAAATTCATACTGTGTTTCAATGCAATTACATCAAATTTGCATAGATTAATACTTCTACAATTAGTAAATTGATTACCACTTCTCCAAAACAATAAACATCAACCTGAACTTTACTAAGGGAGAAATACTATAATTCTAACTGTTCAGTCCTACACCAGAGGATGGAAGCTGTTGTGACAAGGAATTATGCTTTTCATTGTACTTAAATTCTTGCATTAACAATTAGTTGCTTCAGAATATATTTAAATGTAATGGAATCAGTCTCAAATGGGACTAAAATCTCTTGACATAAACTCCTGCATGGAATACACAAAGAAAGACAATATAAACATTTTGTCTAAAAGCATCCTACTGAACAAATTCCATATCTCAGGCACTATGCCAGACAGAGATTATCTGCATTGTTGACAACTTGCAAGTTATTCAGCATTTGTTTTCATTTCTGCTGCCAAAACATATTGTCCATGCAATAACATTATAACTAATCCAGTTGGTGGTTGGGAGATGGTATCCTTACTCTATAGTAGTTTCAAATGGAAATTCTTACCTATCTTAGAGTTTTCAACAAATCCAAAAAACTGAATACAATTTTATGTGCCATACAAGTCAGGTTAGGTAAATTCAAAGATTTTAGAGTTTGTGC